CTTTCAGTTAAATTAGAAGATAAGTCATGTTGTCAAGGGAATGGCAGTGCATGACATTACCAGCCCCTTAATAGTTAACCACAGAGTTAGGAAACCTTTGAAGAGACTGCTGTTCAAATCCTTTCTATTTGATCATATATATTTTGAAGCAGTGAGAAAGAGGAAGAATTAAATTCTCTTGGAAATAAGGTTTGTATTGTCAAGGATGCCCAAGAGGCAGACTTCAAATGTGCACTCTCTCAACCACTGGATTAAGAGACTAAAGTACAAAAATGTTAAATCTATTAAAGAAAATATATAAGATAGAAAAGAACCATAACAATATGAACTCAGTTTTACTTTTTTTTTTTTTTTGAGAGGCAGAGTCTCACTCTGTCGCCTAGGTTGGAGTGCAGTGGTGCGATCTTGGCTCACTGCAATCTCCGCTTCCTGGTTTCAAGCGATTATCCTGCCTCACTGTCCCAAGTCCCTGGGACTACAGATGTGCGCGACTATGCCCAACTAATTTTTGCACTTTTAGTAGAGACAGGGTTTCACTTATATGTTGGCCAGGCTGGTCTCGAACTCCTGACACCCCGGCCTCCCAAAGTATTGGGATTACAGGCATGAGCCTAGGCACCTGGCTTGAGACATTGAGCCCAGCCTTTTTTTTAGATGGCGTCTCACTCTTGTTACCCAGGCAGGAGTGCAGTGGCAAGATCTCAGCTCAATGCAAACTCCACCTCCTGAGTTCAAGCAATTCTCCTGCCTCACCCCCCGGAGTAGCTGAGATTATAAGTGCCTGCCACCACACTCAGCTGAAGTTTTACTTTTTTTTTTTTTTTCTCCTGAGAAGAAGCCTCGCTGTGTCACCTGGCTGGAGTGCAGTGGCGTAATTTCGGCTCACTGCAACCTCCCTCTTCTGCGTTCCAGCAATTCTCCTACCTCAGCCTCCCGAATAGCTGGGACTACAGGCGCATGCCATCACTCCTGGCTAATTTTTGTATTTTTAGTAGAGACAGGGTTTCACTATGTTGGCCAGGATGGTCTCAGTATCCTGATCTCATGATCTGCCCGCCTCGGCCTCCCAAAGTGTTGGGATTACAGACATGAGCCACCGCACCCGGACAGTTTTACTTCATGTTTAAAGGAAAATGAATCTGTAACTAATCTGATTCAGTCTGAACTAATTTAATTTGGCATATGACGGCATCAGTTGCTGAACTCAAATCAAACTAAAGAGTTGTCAATAGCCCATTCTGACGTCTACTTTAGAAATCAAAATGTAAATTTTTGAAAAAGTTGTGAACTGAAATATTATCAGTAGAAAGAATATGAAATATGCAACACACAGATCACCGAAAATATTGTTGAAATTTCTCCAGCCTGGCCAACATAACAAGATCCAACCTCTAGCCAAAATTAAAAAAAAAAAAAAAAGAGGATCACTTAAGACTAGCGTCTAAACAGTGAGCTATGATCACTTTCCACTCCAGCTTGGGTAAGAGAATGAGCCCCTGTCTCTAAAATAGATAAAATAAAATAATTTTTTTAAACATATTTAATGTATCCAACTGAAAAAAATTTTTTAGCTTAATTATGTTCTCAGAGAAAAATAAAAATGTTTAAGAGGATTTAAGTATAATAGATACATTCATATATGTGATACACAAAGATTTAAGTCACCGGCTTGAGACCTGAGGTCTGAATTCTATTTCGTTTATTCCTTACATGGAACTGCTATTTCTTCAAATCTAAGAGCTGAGGTTCTTTTATTTTTCATACCTAGGTTTTCCTTAATCTCTCCTTTTATCATACTTCCCAACTCTCGTCACCCAACAGTGTTAACTAAAATTTCCTTGTGGCCAGGCACAGTGACTCACACCTGTAATCCCTGCACTTTGGGAGGCTAAGGCAGGCGGTTCACTTGAGGTCAGGAGATTGAGACCAGCCTGGCCAACTTGGTGGAACCCCCTCTCTACTAAAAATACAAAAATTAGCCAGGCGTGGTGTCGTATGCCTGTAATCCCAGCTGCTCAGGAGGCTGAGTCAGGAGAATCTCTTGAATATGGGAGGTGGAGGTTGCAGTGAGCCAAGATCATGCCACTGCACTCCAGCCTAGGCAATGGAACGTGACTGTCTCATAAATAAATAAACAAATAGGCTGGGCACGGTGGTTCACACCTGTAATCCCGGCACTTTAGAAGACATAGGCAGGTGAATCACAAGGTCAGGAGTTTGAGACCAGCCTTGCCAATGTTGTGAAACACCCTCTCTACAAAAAATACAAAAATTAGCTGGGCATGGTGATGTGTGCCTGTAGTCCCAGCTATTAGGGAGGCTGAGGCAGGAGAATCACTTGAACCTGGGAGGCAGAGCTTGTGACGAGCCGAGATCGTCCCACTGCACTCCAGTCTGGACAACAGAACAAGACTCTGTCTCAAAATAAATAAACGAAGAAACAAACAAATAAATAAAATGTCCTTGTATGTTCTGACATTCTCTTCCTAAATACAACAACTAAATCAATCTTAGATACAGGGTCTCACTCCCGTCACCCAGTCGGGAGTGCAATTGCGTGATCTCAGCTCACTGCAGCCTGAACAACCCGAGCTCAAGTGATCCTCCTACCTCAGCCCCCCAAGTAGCTGGGTCTAAAGGCATCGCCACTGTGCCCAGCTAATTTTTGTGTTTTTCATAGAGACAGGGTTTTGCTATGTTGCCCAGGCTGGACTCCAACTCATAGGCTCAAACGATCCACCTACCTCAGCCTCCCAAAGTGTTAGAATTACAGGCGTGAGCCATGGTGCCCAGCAAAAAGTGATCTACTATTTTCTTTTTCTTTTGAGACAGAGTTTTGATCTGTCACCCGAAGTGGTGGGATTATAGGTGTGAACCACCTTGCCGGGCCCAAAAAATGATCTACTCTTAAACATGCTCCTCTATTCTAAAACATCACAACCATTTTCATTCTCTCCAAGGGATCCTGGATGTTCCTAAGAGGTGATAAAGAATGGAGCTTGCTGGCCAGATGCGGTGGCTCACACGTGTAATCTGAGCACTTTGGGAGGTCGAGGCAGGCAGATCACTTGAGGTCAGGAGTTTGTGACCAGTCTGACCAACATGGTGAAACTCCATCTCTACTAAAAATACAAAAAATTAGCCAGCCGTGGTGGGGCGCACCCATGGTTCCAGCTACTTGGGAGACTGAGGCAGGAGAATTGCTTGTATCTGGGAGGCAGAGGTTGCAGTAAGCTGAGATCACACCACTGCACTCCAGCCTGGCTGACAGAGTGAGACTGCGTCTCAAGAAAAAAAAAAAAAAAAAAGAATGGAGCAGTTAACAAAAAAATTTCCTTTCACAAACACATAGGTATTCTTCAAAGTTATCTCCCTCCTTGACCTCTGTCCAAAACGATGAATACACGCTTCTTTCCCTATATCCTACTTCCCACTCCCGGGCCCCACAAAGAAAATAGGTTTCAACAAGATTGAAATTCTAAAACAGTTTTTGGTGTCAGTAGTAGAGATAGAGACTATGAATGAAGTGCAGATTGCCCTTGTTTTCATTAATGGACAATGCAAGTGAGCATCTAATTGAGGTGTGGGAGAACAGTGGGTTTCTTAGGCAGAGGGAGAAGTAAGCTCTCAGCATACTGGAATCAAGGATAAAAGGAGGGAACTGTAAAAGGAGACTTCTCCTTATTTCACTTATTTTCCATAAAAAACTTTTCATTAACTATTAGCATAGGTTTGGAATGACCTGCTTTATCTTGAGCCTCATTTTCTCCATCTCTAAAATGCTGATAACAATAATACCTTCATCTCACAGCATTATTGTGAGGATTAAATAACCCTTTTCATGGTCTGGGATGGTTGCTATTTTTTAAAAAAAGAAAAAAGATAACACATACAAAGCTAATAGCACAATGCCTGCCACATATACTAAAAAATGTTAACTTAAAAGAAACATGAGGCCGGGTGCGCCTGTAATCCCAGCACTTTGGGAGGCCAAGGCGGGTGGATCACCTGAAGTCAGGAGTTGGAGACCACTCTGCAAAACATGGGAAAACCCTGCCTCTACTAAAAACATAAAATTAGCCGGGCGTGGTAGCGCATGCCTGTCTCAGCTACTCGGGAGGCTGAGGCAGGAGAATCGTTTGAACCCCGCGAAGGAGGTTGCAGAGAGCCAAGGTCGCGCTATTGCACTCCAGCCTGGATAAGACAGAAACTCCGTCTCAAGAAAAAAGAAAAAAGAAAAAAGAAACCCGAAGGATGTAGTATCCTTGCTTTCATTCAGAAACATGTTTTAGGTTTTATTGTAAACTGATATGTTTACATTTATGCAATTCATTCATTAAACATTTCAACTTGGAAATTAAAGGCTATCTTTGAAAACTGCTTTAATTAAAATCAAAGCAACCAGGGGGAAAAGTTTTATGCTAAATGTAACTACACTGAAAAGCATTCAGGAATCACTGCACAGATAAAATGATCATCTTGATAAAAATGATGCAAATTCAACTGCAGTCACATGCAGCGATTCCTTTCAAAACTGTCACCATTTGTTCTTTCTTTCTGACACTATAGTACCGTGCTTTCATTAAAAGCCAGTAACAAGGCACTGCTTCTTCACAATCAAACCTTTTGGAAACCTTGGCTCAGAGGAAGCCGCACACTCTTTACAGTACTAAGAAAGGATCGGTGTGGTCACTCTAGGACAACTGTCACTGTCATCAGCACGTCTGGGTGTCTCACAGTGACTTGGGTCATGCAGAAGTGTGGGGGAAGGCTGGTGTCTGAAACAAAGTCGACGGCTAGGGCGCCCTGAAAGGGAAGAGGTTTTGACTGAGAATACTAGATGAGGCTCTGATCTATGGGGATGCAGTCTCCCGGGGCAGATCAATTCCGGGGGTGCACTGTCCCCTCCTGCAGGAGAGGGACGCAGGTGTTGCCCTCCCACGGCGACCCCACCGCCTTCTTCCCTGCGCCGCCGCCCCCTCCCCCAGCCCCCTAGTTACCTTTCTCGTCCTCATCGATGCGCAGGGCAATGGAAATGTACTCGAAGGCCTGTTTGTGGAAGACTCGGACGCGCTCGGCCTCGCCGCCCGGCACCGGCGCCGGAGGCGAGGCCGAGGCCGGTGCTGGTGCGGCCCCGGAGCTCCTCTTGGCTGCCATGAGGGCGCGGGAGAAGCGCTGGCAGAGCCACAGGAAGAGGAGCCCCAGGTGGAAGGCGACCAAACGCAGCAGCGCGAAGCCTACGAACAGCGGGTAGGAGAAGTAGTACAGGTTCCGCTTATGCGGCGACTCGGGCGGACGGGCCCGCCCGGCGGCGGGAGGGGCGGGGGCCAGGCAGGGGGGCGGAGGCCTGGGAGGCACCGGGCTGCTGGCGCCGCCGGAGCCTTTCTTCTTTCCTCGTCCACCCGGAGAATTCATTCACAGCTCTCACTGCCGCCGCCGCCATAACCCGCCTCCCGCAGACCGACGGGGACCAAGCGACGGCGGCGGCCACTGCGACGGCTAGGGCCACAGACCCCCGCCTGCCCGCCGGCCCGCCGGCCTCAGGAGCTCCGCACCGCCGCGCGCTGCCCGCCGGCCCCGCCCCTTTCTCCTTCCTCGGCCAGGAGCACAACCCCTTCTCCTCCTGCAGTCGGTGGATTGGGCCCCTCCCTCCTTGCCGCTGTCCTCTCCGCCGCCTGGTGGCTCCCAGCGGCGGCCGCGCACGCGCACGTCCGTCTTCCCGTGTTTTTCTCCGGCGCGCGCGCGCGCACGGCGCGTCTTTGTTGACCTGGGCTCCTGTACGCGTGTGCGGTGCCGGCCCCTAGTCCTTCCCCGCTCGACTACAGTTCCCAACGTGCAGTTCGGCTTACGTCAGCAGTCACGGAGAGCTGCTGCCAGGAAGCCTAGGTAATCCATCCACCGAAGGGGGAATTGAGGCTTGGGGTCGCTCTGCTGGTTCGCAGGGCTCCTCTCTCAGTGTCATCGTTTTCTTACATTTCTTTCATCTTTTTCTGCCAGTCGACATAAGTCTTCTGCGAATGATAATTGACCCATCTCAGAAGCAATGTGTATCAATCTGGGAATTAAATTAGCCAGGCGTGATGGAGTGCTCCCTCCTGTAGTCTCAGCTACTTGGGAGACTGAGGCAGGATACCTTGAACTCGGGAGGCAGAGGCTGCAAGTTAGCTGAGATTGAGCCACTGCACTCCAGCCTGGGCGACACAACGAGACTCCGTTTCCAGAAAAAAATAAAATAAAATTTTTTAAAATGGAAATTATTCGAGAGGAAAGCAATTGTGAAGAGAGAAATTTCAAGTTACTGCAAACAACAACGAAAATGTTAGCTCCATGTGATCAGATCAACGAACGCAGGGGTTTAACCAAATTAAATTAGTGCGTGTTCAGATGTCTAATCTGAAAGGTAATTTATTTGAATAAGGGAAATCTTAGGTTTTACGTAGTAACCATCCCATAGTTTACTGAAAAATCCACACTTTTTTTTTTTTTTTTTTTTTTTTTGAGGCAGAGTTTCGCTCCTGTTACCCAGGCTGGAGTGCAATGGCGCGATCTCGGCTCACCGCAACCTCCGCCTCCTGGGTTCAAGCAATTCTCCTGCCTCAGCCTCCTGAGTAGCTGGGGTTACAGGCACGCGCCACCATGCCCAGCTAATTTTTTGTATTTTTAGTAGTGACGGGGTTTCACCATGTTGACCAGGATGGTCTCGATCTCTTGACCTCGTGATCCACCCGCCTCGGACTCCCAAAGTGCTGGGATTACAGGCTTGAGCCACCGCGCCTGGCCTGCTCCCTGTATTCTGATGAGCTGCAAGCACAGAACCCAGGCCACAAAGGTGGAAACAAACACTAGGTTAGTCAGACTCTCCGGGGACCTAGAATCTTAGCTGGAGACACACTGAATAAAAGGTAGCTGGAATCTAGTGCTCTTAAGAGCGGGTTGATAAATGCATCACGTTGAGCACCCCAGAGCCGCTGGGTTCCTGACTGGTCACTTGGTTATGTAACCTATCCAATACACCAATCAATCAATTTCTCTCTTTCTCCTTTTCCTCTTCCCTCCTTTTGTCTTTTCCTCTCTCTCTCTCTGTCTTCACACCTTTTTTCTCTTCTTTCTCTTTTCACTTGAGTTAGCTATAATTATTTCTTGTTTCCTAAAACTAAGGAAGCCTAACTGATACAAAGACTTATTTGTAGTGTGAAGTTTACAAATGCCCCACGAGAGCTTCTAGCTTCCAAGAATCTCTGCATTCTGCCACAGCTTTATTTTTTTATTTTTTGAGACAGGGTCTCATTCGATCACCCAGGCTGCAGTGCAGTGGCACAAACAACATGGCTCACTGCAACCTACACCTTCCTAACTCAGGTGGTCCTTCCTCCTCAGCCTCTGGAGTAGCTGGGACCACAGGCACACACTGCTGCGCTCAACTACTTTTTGGATTCTTTGTAGAGCCAGGGTTTCACCACCCAGGCTGGTCTCCAACTCCTGGACTTAAGCAATCCACCTGCCTTGGCCTTCCAAAGTGGTCGGGTTACAGGTGTGAGCCATCCCATCGCACCCGAAGCTACTTTTTTTTCTCTCTCTCTCTTTTTAAATTCTTTTTTCTTTTTCTTTTTTTTTTTTTTTTTTTTTTTTCTGTCCAGAGTCTTGGGGTTTAGTAGCCATGCAGCTACTTTTTTTACATTTTTGTTGAGACAGGGTCTTGCTTTGTTGCCCAGGCTGGTCTTGAATTCCTGGGCTCAAGCAATCTGCCCGCCTTGGCCTTCCAAAGTGCTGAGATTATAGGGATGAGCCACAGCCAACTTTACTGAATTATTTCCAACCAATAATGCCCTACAAAGATTGCAGACTATTGCAAAAATGACCTTCTCCCTCTTTCCCTCTTATTGCTCCCCCTTCTCTGTGCTTATGCTAATTCTTCATTCTGAAATGTCCTCTTTCTGCTGGGTGCAGTGGCTGACACCTGTAATCCCAGCACTTTGGTAGCCAAGGTGAGTGGATTACCTGAAGTCAGGAATTTGAGACCAGCCTGGCCAACATGGCAAAACCCCTATACTAAAAATACAAAAATACAAAGTTAGGCTGGGTGTGGTGGCTCATGCCTGTAATCCCAGTACTTTGGGAAGCCAAGGTGGTCAAATCACCTGTGGTCAGGAGTTCGAGACCAACCTGGCCAACATGGTGAAACCCCACCTCTACCAAAAATACAAGTAAACTTAGCCGGGCGTTGTACCAGGCACCTGTAATTCTAGCTACTCAAGAGCCTGAGGCAGGAGAATCGCTTGAACCCAGGAGGCAGAAGTTGCAGTGAGCTGAGATTGTGCCATTGCACTCCAGCCTGGGCAACAAGAGCAAAACTCTGTCTAAAAAAAAAAAAAAAAAAAAATCTGATTCAATTGCTGAACTCCCACCAGAAAACTTGACTTCTGTCTTTTGAACCTCACAGTACTTGTGTAAAATCTATTACATGTATACATATATCATGTAAACAAGAAGTATATTGCTTAAATGTGTAATTTAAGAAAAACAATAAGCAGCATTTCGTTTAAGAAAAATGAATGTTTGGGAGGTCGAGGCAGGTGGATCACAATGTCAGGAGTTCAAGACCAGCCTGGCCAATGTAGTGAAACCCCATCTCTACTAAAAATACAAAAATTAGCCAGGCGTGGTGGTAGGCACCTGTAATCCCGGCTACTCAGGAGGCTGAGGCAGGAGAATCGCTTGAACTCAAGACGTGGAGGTTGTGGTGAGCCAGGATCATGCCATGGCATTCCAGCCTGGGCAACAAAGAGAACAAAACTCCGTCTCAAAAAAAAGAAGAAAAAAGAAAAATAAATATAACCAACTCCTTGAAGCACTTTGTGAACTCCTCCCTAATCTCAATGTCTTGTCACTCCCTCTAGAGGAAGCCACTATCCTGAATTTTGTATTACTCATTCTCGTGTCTCATTTAGGTTTGCAGTGTATTTATGTATTTCTAAACAATGTATTGTATGATTTTGCCTCACTTTGACTTTATGTAAATGTAATCATATTGCAAGTATCCCTTGTTTGCTTTCCTCCTCAAAAATTTTTAAATTTCATTTAAAAAAATAGAGATGGAGTCTCACTATGTTGGCCAGGTTGGTCTCAAACTATTGAGCTCAAGTAATCCTTCTGTCTTGGCCTCCCAAAGTACTGGGATTACAGGCATGAGCCACTGTACCTGACTACCTGCTCAATATTTAAGTGTAGAAATTCCTCCCTGTTGATTTCTATAGTTGTAGTACATTTTCACAGCTTGTAGTATTCCATTATATGAATTTACCACAATTCATTTTGCTATTCAACTATTGATGGATATTTAGTTTGGTGCCAGTTTTTTTTGTTTGTTTTTTTTTCTTTCTTTCTTTCCTTTTTTTGTTTTTTTTGTTTTTGTTTTTTTTTGTTTTGAGACGGAGATTCACTCTTGTTACCCAGGCTGGAGTGCAATGGCGCGATCTCGGCTCACCGCAACCTCCGCCTCCTGGGTTCAAGCAATTCTCCTGCCTCAGCCTCCTGAGTAACTGGGATTACAGGCACGCGCCACCATGCCCAGCTAATTTTTTGTATTTTTAGTAGGGACGGGGTTTCACCATGTTGACCAGGCTGGTCTCAATCTCTCGACCTCGTGATCCACCCGCCTCGGCCTCCCAAAGTGCTGGGATTACAGGCTTGAACCACCGCGCCCGGCCCTGTTTTTTTTTTCCTTAAGTAACTATCTTCTCTGCCACCCTTCTGGTCTTTATCACTCAAGAAAGTAACAAGGCTGGGCGTATGAATGGCTGTATGGCCTAGCTAGCCTCATTCATGTGTTCAGAGGTTGGTTGTGGCTATTAACTGGGACATGTGTCTCTAGTAGGATAGCCCTGATTTATTTACATTGCATCTGTTTTCCAAGAGGGTGTGAGTCGAAGCCATAAGGTCTCTCGAAACCTAAAATCCTAAGTTGCACAGTGTCATTTGTACCACACTCTATCGTCAAAGCAAGTCACAAGGCTGACTCCAGTGCAATATATGGAAAAATTAACTCCACATCTTAATAGACAAGTTGCAAATTCACATTACAGAGCGGCAATATATATAAGGATAGAAGGAATTGTTGTGGCCATCTTTGCAAGTAATTTGGCACAGCGATTAAGGGTAGAATTTTCTTTTACCCCATGTTCAGATAGCAGCTTATGCATCTCATTTAAGATAGCATTTCCCAACCATTTTGCTGAATTATAAAAACCTTAATTGTAATACTTAAGGCTAGATGCTATGGCTTATGCCTGTAATCCCATCACTTTGGGAGACCAAGACAGATGGATCACTTGAGGTCAGGAGTTCAAGACCAGCCTGGCCAACATGGTGAAACCCCACCTCTACCAAAAATACAAAAAATTATCTGGGCATGGTGGTGGCACATGTTTGTGCTCCAAGCTACTTGGGAGGCTGAGGCAGGAGAATCACTTGAACCTGGGAGGCAGAGGTTGCAGTGAGCTGAGATGACGCCACTGCATTCAAGTCTGGGCAATAGAGCAAGACTCTGTCTCAAACAAAAAACGTGCTTAAGTTCAAGGAAAGAACAGCAGTGACAGTGATGATGATGACTACTACTACTTGCTAACATTTATTGAACTCATATTGTGAACTAAGCAGATGAACTTTTAGTGCCTTGTGTTTTTTTTTTGTTTTTTGTTTTTGTTTTTTG